ACCCACAAAATGAAGCAGAGTTAGGAAGCAAAAAAAACAAAACAAAAGCCAATCCCCAGAGCAGAGCAGACACAGATTGCTGAAACTAATCAGAGGGTTAGTCCAGAGCTCCGGCGCTGCCATCAAAGCCAAAGGGTTTTAGTCACGTCCCTGTCCGGACAGTCGGACAAAGCGAGGGGCTGTTTACCGGCTGCAGGTTGTGGGCCGTTGTTACTGGGTGTGGACTTATTCCCGAACACGGCATCGAAATCTACAGTCATGGCTGGGGTGGTCTGCTGCTGCAGCGGCTGGCTCTCCAGTCCTGAGGAATGCAGTTAAATACGACTGAGTAAGGCTGTCCTGGACCAGCTTTATCCCACAAACTTTCTCTGAGGACGCTGCGGGAGACGCAACCAGGACGGGTTTTGTAGGGAAACAATGTTGTGGCTTCGCTGTAGGGAGGATTCCCAAACCTCCTGCTAATTTAATCCCGTTAGATTTAGGAACCTGGACAACGCTCTTCTACTGTCGCCGCTTTGAAATTTAGGATTCTGTGCAGGTTTCAAAGCAAAGCCTGTCTATGAGGAAATCTATTGATGCACCCAAATGTGTGTTCACTGTTGGGAGAAATGTCATTATCTCAACAACAATGCTGCACAACAACAAAAAAGGTATTTGTGAATCTCCCAGGGAAAGAATAAAACTCTTACTGAACAGCACTGTCTGATATTTTCTTTTGTGTGAGTAAAAACTCTTATTTTAAAGTTGTTGCACCAACAAACTGGGTTCAGTCACAGGATTCTTTAAACTTCTGGCAGATTTATTATGAATTTATGATTATGAAAATAATGGATGATAGGTGGACAAAAAGATGCATGGGAGACAATAAAATGTCCCAGAAGTTACAGTGATAAGCGATACTATTGTTCTTTTGAAGCAATTTTCAATTGAATGGCAATGGTATAATAAAAATAATGCACATTTTCAAAGATGAGTAAACTTTTAACAAAGGAGATGGAAAACATTTTAAATATTCAAAATAAATGAAAATGGTATATCAATATTGGTCAGTGGATGAAAATGCTGATATTTTCTCCTCTTATTGCCTTATTCCATGTGTTTTTAGGGAAGGAAACATTTCTAATTAAAATCCTCGGAGGAACCCTGCGATCAATAAACCACCAATAAAAGAGGAGATAATGCTGTGCCCTGTTGGATGCCCAAACAGCTGACAGCAAAACAATACAACAATGCAGCTCCAGCACGTTTTAACAAATCAGACTATTTACAGGAACTGATCCCCTGAGCAGCCATTGGATTAAATAGTGCTCTCTGTTTTATAGTTGTAGAGAAAAACAACAGTGGACTGGAGCAGAAGCTGTGAAGTCAGACCCGACGACGCTTACAAGGAACTTTGGCTTTGAAATCTGGCCGAGCGAATTTACCAAACGGCTCCGGCGGTAATCCTGTTGCACAAAGCCTTTAATACTCCACACTGCCAGAGCTTCCAGATGCATCCCTGTGCCACACTTTGATTCAAGGCGGCTGATAGTGAGCTGAAAATGTCAGCACAGGAACACGCAGGGCACAGCTAATATACACCCGGGTGTCAGCGGAAAAAACCACACGACAACCACGATTGCTTCCTCGCGCCATTTTGAAGTGTGGAACCACGATCGGAGGTGTTGTGATTACAAATCCAAGCGCACTTATTTATATGGAAACAGTCAAATTTTTCTGTCTTGGGGTGCCGATAAATACGGAAGGGAGATGAAAGCTTACCTCCCCAGGCACTGTTGGCGTTGGAGATGGAAGGAGTGCTCTGCACGGCGGGGATGAAGGCCGGCTGCAGATCAAACAGGTCGCTGTTCAGGTTGGGGACGCTGAGGAGCAAACCGGAGGGAGAGGCGAGGAGGTGAGAAAGTGAAAGTGCAGGAAAAAAATAAATCAAAATATCGACCACAAAAAAAACAAAACAAAAAAAACGTGTGGAGCAAAGAAAGGCGACAGAGAGAGAGTATTAATATTTAATCAACTGAGCATAAATACCTAAAGTCGCCACTAAAAATGTTCGTTTGTCACAGATCAAGATTAATCCCTGCTCTCTGCAGGGCTATAAAATCTTCCCCCTGAGCAATAAAGCAGTTAGCGGCAGTAAATTCAGAGTGTGTAAATTCTGCTCCGATTATTAAATCCAAATACTTTATCCATTTCCTGGGAAGGAGTCGGGGAAAGATTTCTGGGCTTCAGAACGAAAACTGACATGCAAGCGGACGAGAGCTCGTCTCAAGGCTCGGCGTTCTGCTGATAAACACCCTGGACCGTGAAGACAACTTTCAGGATTTTTTTCGAACATCGTCTGAAGAACATTTTCCTCTCTTGACAACTCTTGCTAAATAATGACATCCCGACCCCGACTGTGCCAGTTCCAAAGCATCTAAAAGGTAACTAAAGGGCAATATCAAACCGCAGAAAGTGTCAGTTCATAAAGTAAAAAATCCTATTTTTATGTATAGATAACTTACATAGATAACTTAACATGATTTAAAACTCAAAAAAGTAAATTTTACATATTGCGGTGTTCAAATGTTGCTGTGCGTTTACAACCCTATATGAATTTCAGCTTTTATTTTAATTACCGGAATGACAAGACTTTGATAATATTAGGATTTATAGAGATGCACCTGAATATCCAGAGCGGATGACTCAGACACGTTGCAGATGGACAACACAAGAATGATCCACAAAGCCTTTCTATCTGATTTTAAGAAATTTCATGTGTTTCATTATGTCAAATCTAGACTGCTGAAAAGATGGCAGCAGATTCTGATCTGGACTTTTTTCCCCCCCACTTAAGCTACCCAAACTGGGATGAAAAACTGCTGCTCATCCGTTGAATTCCTGAACACATTCCTTTAGAAATATTTGGGTCAACTTCTACCATGACGGATACTGAATGGCGTGAGCAGATTTCTGACCGTGTCTGCTTAGGTTTGTGCACCTGTTTGCGTTCAGCACGGAGCCAAACAACTCCGGGGTGTGTGAGATGTGGTTGTTGTTGTTGGCGCTGCCGACCGACTGGCTGCTGGGGGAGGCGGAGGGTGGAGTCTGCATGCTGATCTCCTTCAGGCGCTGGTCCTGGAAGAAGAAGAAGAAAAAAAAAAAAGAGACACAGATGTCAAACGTGAGAGAAGCGAGGACCCCGCCACAGCTTGAGGAAGAGGCGAGGCTGTTCTGGATTCATTTGAAAATGGGTACAGAGATAAATAAATTAAACAGTCCCGTCACTGTAAAGGCCTAAGATAGATTATTTTGATGAATCTAAGACTTTTTAGGATGCGTGGACACTCTGTGTAACCTAAAGGCAACAACTCATCTGAGTCAAAGTGGGCAAATGACATTGACGAATATTGATGCCTTGTAATGCAGAGACACAATGTAAAAAGCTAGACAGGTTTCTTTGGGTGCAAGTTTGGCTTTTAGTATTTCTTAAAAAGCCAAACTTGCACCCAAAGGTTTCTAGAAATGCTGCTTTCAGGGTTTAGGATTCAGAATATAAGGATTTTAAAACTAATTACTCCTTTAAAAAAAAAATGTATAGAGCGTACATGGACCTTCCTAGTTCTTTTCATGTCGTATCTGACCCTGTTCTGTCAAGACCCAGGTGCTGCTGAGAATAGAGTTTACTTCTCTCTAGTGACATATACACAAATCAGCAAAGCCCGTCCATTGCCACAGCTACAACAACAACAAAAAACTAAACATTCAGCATTTTAATATAAGCTTTATTTTCGTTGATGTGCTGAGTCAAGGTGATGGAAGTCAATAGATGTGAAGAATGACGTGACACAAACAGCAGGGGCCGTTTCCATTAGGCTCAAACTGCAGCAAAACGCTGCTGACGTCTGCAAGTCGGCCGGGGAAACGATCGGAAGCTTCCGGACTGTTCTCAGGAAAAAGACACGGGGTAGAAAACAGTGGGAAAATATCAAAATGTTATGCAACTTTCTGGTCCAAGATCAGCATTTCTATCAAGCCATAATCTACGTTTATAATGTAGATTGTCCCAACAACTAGACTTATGTTGTAACTAACATAGGACTAGTTGCAAGAAAATCCTGTAACTAGTCCCACTTCAGGTCTGTAAGGTTATTAGCGGAAAATAACAGAAAGAGGACAAATGAGGAACAAAAAGATCTGATTGGATGAAAGTGTGAACTTGTGTTGATCCATTAGGAGCCCCGAGTCGTTAGCACGGCGCTATCAACGTCAGCTGTTAACATTTTCTGCATTTTCTCATTTTCTGACCAATTACTGTAACTGAATTTTGACAAATCCACTTAGCGTCCTACTACTTTAACTTCCTGTTTGATGACATTTCTTGAAACTTTTTTTAAAAAAGGTGATGCAAAAATCAGTCAATTTTTGCGTCCTTCCAACATCCCGGAAGGACCGAATAATTCACACCACACCGTTCAACAATTTAATTTGACAATTTACCCATTATACAAATATTTTATTTTAAATAGTCAAACCTGTTTGAATTGCATCTAACCCCTCATTTTCTTGTATTTCACACACTGTTGGGGAATCTAACACATCAGACCTTTTAATTTGCCCTGCAGAGATCAATGCACTAGTTTTTCTTCCCCGTCAGGAAATTCACTGTGGGAGATTATCCCCCAGAAAAACGTACTGTTTGCCCAACGAATGAGGCAATTTCCAGTAGAGCAGTCAGGCCGGTTATTGGTATGGATGACTGCAGTTGGAGTGAAAACACAGCTCCTCAAAGCGCCTTTATGTGGCTTATTTACACAAGGCCAGACGGAGGTTTTAATTCAGTGCACAACTTTAGGGTGAAGAAATGTTCCAAGTCACCTTACAACCTCTGCTGCCTTTAAAAGGATCCAGAGCGGATTAATAAAACAGAATCTGTACCGGTCTTCTCCTCATTTCTATTCCGACAGAGTAGTGAGAGGAGGGAAAAAAAAAAAGGAGCCAACTGCTGGTATTGTTTGGGCTGAAGCCCCAGCTGGACAGTAGCTGAGCGTGGAAGTGTTTTTGTATGTGCGCGTTGAACCCATATGGACACCAGAGAGCGCAGACAGCTGGACTGGAAGTTTTTGGATGACCCCTCCTGACCTCTGCCCAGCTCTCTTATTGAACTATGTTCTCACTTAATCTCACCTCTTCTTTCTGAAAAAAAAAAAGAAATGAAAAAAAGGAAAACAACTTGCCGCATCTCGATGGAAGCGGGACAAACCAAGGGCACAGAGTGAACAGAGAAATATAATCCAATCAAACACACTGAGGCAACGCCAACTGTGCATAATCTCACGTGATTCGAACACACAAGAGGCTTGTAGGGGGTTTACACAGACAGAGGGGCAGCGCTACTAAGTAAACTGCAACATTTTCTTACGAGGTGCAAGCGAGCTACGCCTGAAACGAAGTTTGTTTACACACACTCGCACGCACACACAGCAGATGCTGCTATGTGTGCCTGAATTGTAGTTCCCACTGAGCTCTCAGTCAATTACTGTTTGCTGCAAGGCAGGACTCCCAGGGCTTGAGTGAAAAATGCCAACAGATTTTATACTTGACTTTTCGATTGCGTGGCCCCGCTACCACTGAAGCCTTTTGGCCTTTATTTTTCAACTGGAGTTGAGATGTCAAAGATGGGGGAGAGTGGGAAGAACCACTGGCATTTCTGGCGCAGCGTGATGTTTTGTGGCAAGTGAAGCTACGATGTGGAAATGTTTGCAGGTTTATACTGATTGTTCTGACTTCTGCACCGACACATCTTCTCTGACGCAGTTTAACCGTCCAGATCTCTTCTCATTCTCCTTAACAAGATGGCCGCCACGCCTCCACATCTGCTAATGGAAGCAGACCAAAGAATGCTGTGTGGGAACACGGATTAAAAATACAAATATGCACAGCCCTTCAACACTTCTATTGGCCACTTCCAGTAATTGGTTTGAATCTTCTGTAACACACAGGAACTTCTTTGTGTCATTGGAACGGGTAGAAGTCACATGCGGTGTACCACAAGGTTCAATCCTGGGACAACTACTATTTGACATCTACATAGCTCTCGCTAGCCCAGCTTGGGCCTGTCACAGTAACATATTTTGCTGGACTTTAACTTTTCTCAGAAGTTATTGTGACAAACGATAATGTTGTTTTGAGACCATTATCAATAACAATAATAGAAAGAGAGAGAAAAGAGGGAAAATTATAAATCATGCAAAATGAAATGATTAAGCGCACTTCAATTTATTATGTGATTGATTATTTTGTTGCTTTTTGTGACAGGCCAAACTGAGGTTACAAAAAGCAATAAGATTAGCTACCATCGCTACACAGATGATACACAGCTCTACATTACAATGCCACCAGGAGTTTCTGAACCCATCCAACAGATGCCAAGAACAAATAAATAAAAAATATGCCATAACGTTCTCCATCTGAACAGAAACAAAACTGAAGTGATCATCTTTGGAGCTAAAGAGAAAGAAAGTCGAGTCAGCGCTTAGCTTCAGTTTTTACAGCTTAACATTAGTGATCAGGTCTGAAATCTGGGTGAATTTTTAACCACCTACAGATGCGAGGAGGGATTTGTAAACATTTTTAGAGTGGAAACTGTATCTTGTCCACAAAATCTAAAACAAACCCTACAAATAAGAACTGCAACGACATTTAATGACTTCAAACATAAAGCTACCCAAGTTTAATTTGAATATTCTCAAATTTTAGAAGATACCTACTTTCCTATACATATTCACTCATGGGAAGTTAAATACTTTTAGGGTTAGTACGACCTTATGCATTCACAGTCCAGCTCAGTCTCCGAACTACGGAACATATATATTTTATATAATCATGTCTATAATGAAGCCACCTCAAATAAGAAAACTAGCATAGCTAAGAACTGGATTAAAATTCTACAAAGCCTTTTGTGTCTTAAGAAGCAGCTGCACAGAACTCAATCAACCGGCTGCAAAGATGCCACATGAAGTCACTTGAGAAAGGACAGATCAGTCTGTACTCAACCTCCTTCTGAGAGCCTCTTGGCTGCTTCATCTCACAGACTAACTGCCTCCTTCAGAGGTGACGGGGCCTAAAATCTTACCTTGAGAGCCTGCAGCCTGGCCTGCTCCTCCTCCAGGGCCTGCTGCTTTTCCTTCTCATCCATGCGGCTGAAGGACATGCCGGTGGAGGACAGAGATGAGACAGCACTCGACAAGGTGGACGCTCTGGGGAAAAAAAGGAAGTATACAACTTGACCATGTTTCATATCAAAAAATTTTGAAAAATCTCTGATTTTGGTCTAGTTTCTAGCTGAAATGTCTTAGTCCACTTATTTTTCAGCAAGCTGTAGGGGCTTGTTTAATTCGACAGTTATTTAATATCGATGAAAAAGTACAAATTCTATGGGTGGACATTTTTTTTCCCATGTTATAAGTGAAAACCTTTTTCATCAATACTGAGGAATTATTGACTTAAAACAAGATCCTATTTTGTGCTGAAAAGCAACTTCTAAGCCAGTTTTGCTTATTTCAAGTGTATTTGTCACAAGAACAAATCTTGCTGGACGATAAATCGACCCAAAACTTATTGCAAAAAACGATAATATTGCTGTATTGGTCAGTACATTTGGTCTCAAATGTATTGAGACCATTTTCTAGTAATATAATGGTAATGGCATAATAATACAAGAAAACACGCTCAAAAACCAATAAACTCTAAATACTGATGAACATTTAACACTGAAACTCCAAAATAAATCAAATATGAAGTAAATTAAATTGTTTAAAAAAAAGGGCTGGTTGACACCAAAGCACTAGACTAAAGATTTTTGTCACTGAGTTATTGGTAAAAAGAAGAAAAAAAAAAGTTATGCAAATGGACATTCTAGAGTTCATTTTGTCACACAATTAATTGATTTATTGCGACAGGCCTAGAAACTAGACCAAAATTCACTTGACTTTTAAATCTATTCCGGTGCTTTGCGACTCAAACACGTACCTTGTGTCTGCATTCAACTCCTTCGTCTTCTTGCCCTCCAGAGAGGCAAGATGCTGCTCCAAAGCCTCCAGGAGGCTGCTGGGGGCCTGAGAAACAAAACAGAGATGTTCACCTATCTGCAGCCACTTCTGGAGAACACTGCTCTCACTCACTCTCTCAAAATGCACCAAAAAAAAAAACAACAAAAAAAAAAGAGGAAGAAAATCCCACCCACACAGTCCCAGAGTTGTGCTCACACAAACACAGCACCCAGAGTTAGTCAGCCTCTCAGGAAGGTAACGGAGTGCATCAGGCTCCAAGAATAGCCATGGCAACATGCAGCAAATACTCACATTGTTAGCAGGAGAACAAAGGAGGAGGTAGAGAAACAAAGAGTGAGGAAAAAGGTGGGGAGTAAAAGGAGGGAGTAGTAGGGTTTTCATTTTCCTTCTTTACTTCACATGAACACAAGGCGACGGTACCTACAGCACACCTTTTCTTCCTCTCTGTTTTGCTTCCCTTTTTGTTGAGTGATCTGCATTTAGTTTCAATATGCTCACTCTTTTCACCTGTTGTACTTAGAAACTAGCATTCCCTCACTTTATCTAATTGCCTGTCAAGAAAGAAAGAAAAAAAATCCCCAACAGATGCAGTGAGGGGAATCTAAACAGTTCCCAGCACTGCACACGGCTCAATCAAACTCAGCCGGCAAACGGGTTTATGAGAATTGTTGCTATGGAGCTGTAGATAAGATTCAGGTGGAGCGCTCATGCTGCTAGGCCAACTACCCTGTGGTTGTTAGGTGCTTCATTAGCGGTCAAAAGACAAAAAGAGAGAAATCAAAGGGAAAAAAAATGAATTCACTGGGTTGGGAAAGGAAGGCAACAGGAGCTGGGTTCTGGTTTGGCTGAAAAAAAAAAAAAAAAAGGGGAAATTCTCCCACTGCGCAAATATGACAACGTCATGTCTGCCTCTCCGTCCACAAGAATGTTGCTGGCAGCGATGTGGACCTGCACGCAAATGCATGAAGTGCTCAGAGGACTCTGGCTGGCGAGGCGATGGGAGCCTGCCAAAAACGACGCCCGGTTGTTAAAGAGACAGCGGCGTGAACTGTCAGAGGTCAACTGGTCTTAAGTAAAAATAAACAAAAGCTCACTTGATACTATGGTGTGTGTTTTTTTTTTTTAATTAATTTTATCTCAAGTAAAAATATCATAGTACTTTCACCCAAATTCACCTTAATATTATGACTTAAAAGCAACAGTTAAATTGATAGTAAAGCAGAAATATGACAGTATAAACTATTGCATAACAGGAAGTTTACTTAGAGCCATTTTGATTTTTATAGACAAAAACAGGCTAATTTTAGCTGGTTTAATAGTCACCAGGGGTCCAGAGCCACAAGTTGTTCTTTGGACCTTCAACAATGGCTCTTAAAGGTGCAGTACGTAATTTTTATAAAACAATATGTTTTCTATGTATTTGTTAAAACTGTGATAGTTTGCTACGAAACAGATGATCTGTGAAAAGACTGAGCTCCTCCACCTCTTCCTGTGCTGCTACGAAAACAACTAATCCCGACCAAAACAACCAATCAGAGCCAGGTCTCGTCGCTTCCAATCATCCTCGTGAACTCGATGCTAAATGTGCTAGTGGCAGAGACACAACTGACTACTACAGAAATAAACATTTGTCCACCATCATTGGTGGCTGTGCTAGCTAACCTGAATTGCACATTGTGATTGTCAGCGCCAAGACTCGCCCCCTGGTTCTGATTGGTTGTTTCTAGTAGACACTATAAGCACCGGCAGAGGAGCTCAATTATTTTATTTATGTATTTTTTATTAATTTTTTTTATACATCATCTGTCTCATAATGCTAGCATGGTAACATAGTGCAGCTTTAATAAATATGACTAAAAATAATTTAGAAAGGAAAATAGCTAATATTTCTTCATTTAGATCTAATAACAGACTTACGTTTTCCAGTTTATTCCTGCAATATCTGAACTGAATTTCCAAAAGAATCCGATTTTTTAGCCATTAGGGTTGGACCATATGTGCTTCAAATAACATTTCCTTTAGTAGATATTTATCTAAAATCACAACCTGTCATTTTTTCAGAATGTTGTGCAACATTAATGTCTCTAAATGAATTTTTGTTTGGCTGGATTGAGATTAAAAATGATTGTTTATGTTGTAAAGGTCACACATCCTTGATCTATACAATGACAATTTCTGTAATATATTCAGTAATACATCATTGAAGTGTGATATATTACTGAAAAAGAAAATCAAGAGTTCAGTTTTATTTATGTCCCTGTCTCTTAGCACCTAACATTTCAGAAATACTGATTGAAAATCGACCTAAATAAAACGTACGCATACTTTCAGGTAAAATTCATTTTGCTTCATTAGTGCATAATAAAAAATATCCTTTGAAATCCTCACATATAAATCATCTCACCAGACACTGACCAATGCTTAGCCAGTGTTGTGTGCTTAACTTTTGGAAGGCATGGAGAAAAGTCAGCACACACACAAAAAAAAAAAAAAAAAGACAATAACTGCGCCATAATAACCAGGCCATTCACTATTCTTGTCAAGCACATTGAAGCAGTGCTGTCGTGCATGACAAACACGATATGAACACCGTGTAAGGAGGATGGAATTTAGATGAGTGACGAGGGGGCAAAAAAGAAAAACAACCCTCTTTCTGCAGACTTCTTCATGCAGATGAAGACGGAGGGGAGCAGGAGTGAAGCCTCATTTCCTATTCATGAGCTTCCGTGGCCTTTTGCCATCTGTGTCACACCTGCCGGAGTGGGTGTGTGCGTGTGTGTGTGAGAGACAGCTACAAGTAATCCACCTGATGCCAACACACACGAATTAACAGTCGGGCATTTGTACAGTAGAAAGAGACCAAAAGAAAAGAAAGAAAGAAAAAAAAAAAGGGGATTGTCATGCCTGTAAATGCTCAAGCTGCTGTATGTATGCTTGCACACTCGAGTAGAGAAACTATGATCCTCATGCATGTTCTTAAAGGAAAATTCCACTAGATTTACACCTGGGCGCTATCATTTCTCATCTTTTGGTGAGTTAGTATCAAGACTCATCAGAATGCTAAAGGGACTGGATTTATATAGACCACAATCACGCATATGCACACATTCACACACCATTATGCAGATCTGTACTCAGGGTAAAGTGGAACCTGGAATCAGACTCACAACTTTAAGACTGCAAAATGCATACTCTTCCTAGTGAGACACAGTCACACCTAAATGTTTTATTCCTCTAGTTTACAGCCAGGAGTCTGGTCAAACAGGGAGAAGCTGAGAGAAATCAGTGAACAACAAAATCCAGTTACTGTGTATCCAATTAGGACAGAGCTTCATTTTTCACCATCACTTCCCATCTAAGGTAGACGTTTCTACATTGGTCTCGATTTAAGGAGAGAAGGACGGTCGGAGTTCAAAATAAAGATGGATGGATAAGTAGATGAACAACGATAGATGGACAAAAAGATGGCTGGATTAAATATGCAAAGGAGGAAATATGTAGGAGATAAAAAGATGGATGGATGGATGGATGGATGGATGGATGGATGGATGGATGGATGGATGGATGGATGGATGGATGGATGGATGGATGGATGGATGGATGGATGGATGGATGGATGGATGGATGGATGGATGGATGGATGGATGGATGGATGGATGGATGGATGGATGGATGGAGGAAATACAAAGGATGCATGAAATACAGCCAAATAAATGGATGAATTATAGATGGATGAATTAGTAAGGATGGACAGATGGATGAAATATGGATCATTGATGACATACAGATAGATGGATGGAATAGAGATGGATGTTTTGAACAATGTGGGTAAACTGTCTTTGTAAACTCCCGTACTTTCCTTTTACTCCAGTTGACATTTCCCTACTTCTCCAGGCTTAAATCAAACTCCAGGCCTTTCCAGGTCGAGTAGGAACCTTTTACAAACTAAGCAAAGAAAACATAGGAAGCAGAACTGAAGGGGTTCCTGAAAACCCTTTTCATTACAGATTATCAGCTATTGAGGAACAGCCACTAATATAGCCACAGTTTCGATACATAAGGTTATTTTAGACATGGTGATTAACGTCCCAAAAATAACGGGAAGTAGAAACCCAAACTGGAAAAAGTGGCCTCTCAGCTTCCCTTGAGTTAAATAACCCTCCATAAAAGCAATTCCTTTTACAACAGAGGAACAACATAAACCATTCTATGTGGCTTCATCATCATCACTGATACAACAAAACGAGAACAGACGGGCTTTAAAAGTTTTAAATCTGGAAACAAACCAGCCAAACTGCAAAACATAAAGTAACAAAGCTGCTTCTTAATGTTTACCTTAATTTATGTAAAAATCCCAAAATCAATAAGAGGCAAAAGGCAAAGACTTTGCCCACTAGTCTGCAGAGCGATGGTAAAGCAATAATCAGACAAACTGGCCACGGGATTCTTGCACAACGCTGATTTTTGCCCCCATTAAAAACTAAAATTGGGAAAAAATAGGGCCTAGGTTAAAGGCGGAATTTTCCTTTATGGAGGTTGGAGTGGTTTAGCGGTACAGTTTGCAACCCACCACCTACAATGTATGATCCTTTAGTCTTCTGCAACAGAGTGGGAGGAGAGGAAAAACACTCGTTATTGACTGCAAATACAGGATTATTCAATTCTGACCTCAGACAAACTGACTCTACTCTATACACATTGACCAGTTTCTTTGCTCTTTGGAAATGTGTAGTTAAGGACACGTTTCACTGAGATCTGCAAAGTACAATGAGATTTCTGATTCTTGGATAGAAAAATAAAAGAATCAAAAAGGCTATGAATGAATAAGCTGCTGTGATAACAATAGGGATACATAAAGTAGTCAGAAAAATTATAGATTTTTTTTACATTTCTTCCCCTTTCAATAAGGTCAATATAAACTCAACCTCTCATATTTAACATGTCTTTACCAATAAACTGAGCTGGCTTCTGACTCCAAGAATACATTGCACATCAGGGTTTCTGCAGGTTTTACAAATTCGCATGCAAGATGTTTTAACACCGTTGTAAATAGAATTTAAGACGTATATCTCTCCAGAATTGAATGGATTTCCTACAGACTATTGGCAAAAGATTTCCGCCTACCCATGAAAGACGCAAAAAAGCTACCTAGCTATCAGGGGTATGTTAGCAGCTAGTTAACTGTAGTCTCAACCACAGAACACAATGAAGACATCGGAGTGTGACCCAAACCTTAGCCAAACGCAAAAGTCACATGAGAAAAACAAAATATACAATCTTAAATGAAAGATGTTTAATAACGCCGGCACTACAAAATTTAAGATCAAAGATCAACATATATTTTTTTTTAAAAGGAATTTAAGGGCTTTTAAATTGTTTTTCTTTTGGAATATTTTGTTCACATATATTCTACAAAATACTTTAATAACATTTACATAATAAGCAAAATTTGAAAAAAAAACAATGTTTGCATTATTTTCTAAAGCAAAAGTGCAAAACCTTATAATTTGGGAGCAAATCACAGCAAAAAACTTTATAGTTGAGTTAAGAAAGTACATCACAAAAATAAAATATCAACAGGAAATATGAAACAAAAGGTTTGCTTTTATTAGCCTAATATTGATTCGATGCTAAACTTATCAATATTTTTGGATCAATCTGTTCCCCTATAGTACGACAGTTCCAGCATATTGCAGGAAGGTGGAACAGTATTGAAGTTTTAAAAGTGCCAGACATGCTAGCTGCTACTATTTTAATAACATAAACTTGACTTATATTCATTAAGTCTTTTCTTTTTAGAAGAATAAAAATTACCCACACTCGGAAAATAAAAAACTCGTCACCGTAAAATAAATTTTTATATTATTCTACCAATGAGCAGACATGTTGTTTTCTATATCCGCTGTGTGTTTGGCGCCCCCCATTGACTGGGAGTGTTACTGAAAGTCAGAGCTGCACAGGGACATCTGTAGATTCATTCAATTCAACTCAGCACCCAAAAACACAAAGTATTCCATAAATACTATATTCTGTATTAATTCAGTATTTATAGAATGAACAAATGATCACTTCCAAGTTTTCTATGCTGAAAATGTTAACATTTAAAAATAATATGAAGTTACCTAACCAGTGCTCAGATGTGCATGTGAATGTCAAACTTCCTGTAGTTACAACAACTTTAAAAATAGGAAGCTTTTGTTTTCAGACATCATCATAAAACTAAATGTATGATTTTTAAATTGCTGGCTGACAACAAAGAAAATTAATGAGGTCCTTGGAGCAAAGTTTTCAATGAATGATTTAAATCAACCAACGATCAATGAACAACACAAATCAATCTCTGGTTGCAGCTCTTTTATGTAACTAGCACATAAAGCCAAGGACTTTTGAAATAAAGATGATTAAAACAAGTTTTACTACCAAATATTTATAATCTGAGCGAATCTGACCAAGACAAAAAAAATAATCAAAGTGAGGTAAACAAATACAACATAAAGGGCATAAAAAATAAATCCTGCTTCAAGGAGCTTTGATATACACTTTCACAGCTGGATAAAAAGCAAATTAAAACATTTTGAGAATTAAAGGAGCAAATCACATTGCTTATCCAGGTAGAGATGCTTTCTTTCTTGTTTTTTTTTGTTTTTTTTGTTTTTTTACAAAACCTTTTCTTCTATTCATTATCTTTGTTTTCCTAATTTCAAGGCCAGCCTCATTGGTTTCATTTGTCCCAGGTTTTAAAAAAAAAAACCCCAACAACAACAAATACAAGACTTTTTCTCAATTCTGCTCATGGCGTAGGGCCAAACTCACACACCTCAACCTGGATCTATAATAAGAAATTAGGAGGAGAGAGAAAGCAGGAAAGAATATTCAGGCAGATCCAACAGAGAGGCCTTCGAACATGATGGCTGGTTAAACAAAATAAAAACGAGAAAACATGAGCGGGAACGTCAACTACAGAGTTGGTTGAGAGGGAATACAGGTTACAAAGAAAAGGTGAGTTAGTGGGAAAATAAAGGAAGCCACATATATTGCTGAAAATATGAAAGCAAAAAGGAAAGACAGAAAACAAGAGCTGGAGTTGAATAGAGAGGTGGAAGGTGGCATGTACACTGACCTGTGAGAGATCTGGGATGTCACCCTGATCTATTCCAACTTGCTGTCGTCAAAACAAAAACAAAATAAAAGAAAAAATAGGGAGGGAAGTATAGGTGGGGGGATAAAATGGAGAAGAAAACAAAAAAAACATAGGGGAATCATTACCTCATGCAGTGGCAATGTGTCAACAAAAAAAAACACACAACAGAAACAAACAAGCAAACGCGTGTGGCGTTAACAGGAAATGGCGGCAGTGACTGAACGATGAGAAAACATGTCCGACTCTTGAAGGTGGAGCAGGCATGCTGTGGGAACAGTTAAAGTAACACCGAACTCTAGGAATTCACCTCTACGGGACGTGACACGTCGACTTGTTGGGACACAGATAAACAACGTCATGTCCTTCTTGTAACCAACCACTGGGCTTTCATTTGAGATTATTCGGCAGGAAGTAAAAACCATGCTTGAGAAGATTCAGCAAACATTTTGTTTAAAGGGGCAGTGTTATGTAAAATCTTTTCTTTTTTAGCTTTACATCTTCTTATAATGTTATTCCCACACCATAAACATACTCGGAGTGTTGCTTTGATTCTTTAAGGCATGTTTGAGAAATCCTTTAATCTCCATGGCACAATTCAGCTGCACAAAACTCCCGGACAGACCTAGCTCCGCCTTCGAGACAAAGCTCCTCCTCCCGGCTGCAGTTCCCAAGCTTCTGCATTACAGAACAGCTCTCCCCCTATACTTCTGCACTCAGCTCCTTCAGACTAGCCAGCAGCAATTTGCAAACATCAGCTGAGCTCATTATATGAGCTACTTCTCAGAGCAACTGTGGCAAAGACTTTGCTAAAGGTGCAGTTTCAGAAAGAGCAGGAGCTTGTGAAAGAGACAGAGGCCCAATTCCAAGGTGTTAAATTACAAAGTCAAATTTAATTTAAATCACATTAGAATTTTTATAAATGAGGTCAACATAGTTTGGAAAATACATAATACCGCCCCTTTAGCACTAAACTGAAGTGGTAAATCTAAGATAAATATGGTATAGGTTCTGGTTTACAAAATAAATGTCTTTCAGCAAATATTTTGTTGAGAACATGTAAAGCTAGCCTTTTCCGTTCTGACCACACTGAGCCGAGGGGACCAAGCTCTTGCAGATGTTTTTGGAAGGACCAACAGGGACGTGGAGCTGAGCTCATTTTAGCCACGAGAGTTATGGATGTCTTTTGAGTGTCGGGAGCTTGACGGCGCACAGCTGTCTGCTTCGTGCATCCTGCAGCAACTCTGCCTGATGAACTCGAGTGACCCGGAGTGATACAGCTCTACAGACACATTAAATGAACTGTAACTAATCCCTCCCCACAATCCATTACTTTGACTTTCACATTTCTTTTACTCTACCCTCTTTGCCCAGCAGATGGTCTTTTTGGCTCTTAAGGAATAGCCACATGTTGAGCAAAACATTTGTTTTTCCTTATTTTCTATTCAGGTATTGTGACATTAGCTCAACTTTAAGAAACATATTTAATGTCTAATGTTTTTACAGCGACGACTCAATTAATACCAATAACTCAGAGTTGGCCCAGCATTAAAATTCTGCATTCTGACAACCTGCATTCTCACCAAACAGAAGCCAACACATATATAATGTGTTAATGGTCAAATTGACATCTGATCTTCAAATTAATATTGATCTCTTTGGTGGCGCTGTGTTGAAATGCTTCTTGATAAAGTGGGTTGTTAAAATTCTCAATTCTCTTTTGTTTTAAACTAATATGTATGTGTACTTTTCTTTTGTCTTGATTTCTTTTGTGTAAAGAGTTGCACAAATTTAAATTCATAATTTAAATCTAAGACTGTCTGCTTATTTCCTTATAGAAATTCACATTGTAATCTCTTAATGCATTAAACGTAAAATATTTTTCTTTTTCCATAATTATTCAGTTTAGAGGAACACTAATTGGTCAACGTGTCATTTTAAGACAGTGTGTTGTGTTGTGAGAATTGTAATTCTCTTCAGCATCATAACTCCTCCATGGAAATGCATTTCTTATCTATCTGTAGCTACTTCATTTCCCATCATGCTGACAATTTGCATATATGAAACCTACACAAAACTGTACCACCGGCTGATGCTTTAGCACTTCCAAGTCATTGCATCAGAAGAAAACACATTATAAAAATGTATTGTAGATTAAAATTTGCTGCTTCACACTGGAGACGTTAAATATACAAACGAAGCAACTCATTGTTAACTCCCTTTTCTATTTATATACATATAGACACAAAATTTTTTAAAAGTCTAGAGCCGTCGGGGAAGTTCTTAAAACGCAATCGTAAAAAGATGAAGACGTTTGAATGGGAACGTTTCCCCATTCCATGTCTGAAATTCACGTCGGCTTCCTTCGCCGTCTGTTTAAACGACGGAGACGGAACGGGGCACAACAGAGAGAAAGAGAGACAGATACAGAGACAGAGTGAGAGTCAGAGTGAGAGAGAGAGAGAGGGATGATCTGTGGGTGCCGGGGGAAGGAGAGCCACTCGGGTATCCATCTTTGTCAGAGGGAGAAAAGAGGAGCAAGGCAGAGGAGAGGATTAGAGCGCCTAACCACGTCCTCCATCTTATGGTTATTTTGGTCTATAT